TATTGTTACAATATTACCACGGAAAATGTTGAAGGCCACTGTGTAATTGAAATAACAAGCAGTAGATAATGTATTGGGGACATTCACGTTAATATACGTATAAATTTATGATAAATAGTTGCCAACTGATAACGATAAACTTGCTTAAAAACCTAGGGTAATTTAAAATTCAAGTTTGTGCGTCGTATCAGGATGAAGGACGTCATATCTTAATAAATATGTGTTGCAATATCATTTAACAAGTTATGTTGTTCAGCATGCGTTTCCAGAGCGTGTAAAGAATACAAAAACTGAACTATTGGTATATTTTTTCATTTATCTGTTCCTCAAGTACAAGCCGTGGTAGGCTAATAGTTTGACCTACCGCCTCTCAAGCAGAGGCCGTGGGTTCGAATCCGGACTTGTAACTCTAAGGTTTCCGGAATTTATTTGCGAGATTTAATTTGAAATGTGCCTTTTCAGTGAAGTAAAACACCGTGATGAAACCTGGGGCCTTACCATGAACTCTTATTACAGTTCAGTATAGGTTCGTAACGACAAAATAGCGGGATGGTGATTTATACTTCATATAGCGCTGTCTTACAACGATTCATTTTAGGTCCTAAACTGAATCGTAATAAGAGTTCATGGTAACGCCCCTGCACGTCGAAGAAGGTTCACAACCCTTGGAAAACGTGTAATGTCCCCAACCCGTATTGGCTTAGCGTTGCGGACTGTGGCCTAAACTCTCGCTTGAGAGGAGACCCGTGACTCGCAGTGGGACGTATAAATGGGCTGATATTGTACCTGTTCCTCAGAGCACACCCTGATTTCATGTTCGGCCTTCTCAATGCCTTCCTTGGTGCCCGTAATGGTGATGATTTCGCTGGTGTCGTTGATTCCGGGCACGCTGATCTTGGTCGCTGTGACTTTCTCCAAATCCTTAAGCTTTTGCCCTTGCTTACCGAGGATCCAGCGGTGATGTTCCTTGGGAATCGACACTTGCTTGCTTGCCTGAAGGGAGAAAAATCACGAAATATAAGAAATATGTCAAAATAGTCTAATAAAATTCTGGCGTCAAAAATTTTGACAGACAGCCATAGGTTTGATAAACCTGGCTTTAAAATTCCTTGTAGATGTATAACCCATTAAAAATGAAAGAGCTGTTAGAAGGAAAATTGTACCTTACGACTTCTTAGTAGAGTGTATTGGCCTGTGCCTTGTCTTTTAGAGTTACTTTAAAAAAAACTTTTAACCTCGCCACATTCAGCTATACACTTTGATGTACCGCCGACTGTACTTGAAACGTAAGGATAGGTTCGATATGTTTTTATGACATTTTTGCTAACAATTATGCTGTACATATTTCAAAATAAATACACACCTGTTGCTGGAAGTGAGTCAAAATCTTGCGCCTAGCCTCAAGCACAGCACTATGCTTCCCGGTAATGAGGAACGTAAGGCTTCCGTCCTTGCTGGTCGAGATCTCGATATGGGCGCCGGTTTCCTTGGTGATGGATTGGCATGTCCGCAGCGATTCACCCTCGCCAAAAGTGTTCGCGTTGTCCTGTTTTCTTTCTTCGTATGGCACGTGGAAAACCTAGAACATAATATATTTTATTAAAGTTGGATTTGACCCTCGAATTTTTTTTTTTATAATACCAAGTGACGGGAAGAACAAGTCGTGCGGCTGGTGGTAAGCGACACGCCTATCCATCACTGACGGGCGCAGTGGTAGTGCACCTCAGATATTTGTAATTTAAAGCTCTAAGTGGCACTGTAACTGTTATGGACAGGCGTGTAGCTTACCATCACGCGCACGACTTGTACGTCCCGTCACTTGAAGTTATAAAAAAAACTGTTGCAATGCCATTTAGAGCTTTAAGTCGCAATGATCTTATGGGCACTGTGTATGCGTCCGTCACCCTGTGACATAAGTTAACAAGTCCCATGTGTCTGTAATTTCACCAGCACCCTTAACCCTTCTAACCCGGAACGCAGTAATGCTCACATTACTGCCTGGCGGCAGAAATAGTCAGGGTAGAAGTTCTTCCCTGGATGAACTCCTTTACAAGGAGCTCTACTGCTACTACAAAAATATGAAATTACGGGGAAGAACTACTAATTTTGCCTAGTGACAATACGAAATTACTTATTTTATTGAATATCATCATGTTTTTACTACCATGAAATTCATTATTTCTTTGTGAAAACACTCCGCTAGTTTGTTACTATTGATGCAGAGATCAAACAAACCCAAAGAAAAATATTTTCGGGTAGCCCCGGTTTGGCAAAAAGTCGCTGGTTCGTGTCCAGCCGAAAAGTATTTTTCTTTGTGCTCCTTATATCAATAATAACAACATCTAAATTGCAGTATTACATAAATAAACATATTATATTATACAGGGTTATTTTTAATATTAACAATCTTACAGGACTAGATTACTAAAATCATAAACAACAACTTTTGTTCAGTGACTTTTCACAAAACATGATAAATTTACCAAAAAATCTTTTTATTTTTGTTTCCGACACATTTCAGATCTGTATTTTTAGTAAGGTAATAAGTTCAAATGTGCAAGCGTCGTCTCCGACTGCCGCGTTTTGCACAAAGTTATCGCCATTTAGACCAATATATTTAAATATTTTTATTTTTGTATGAAAGTAAAATCTGACGAATTATTAAGTCATGAAACAAAAGTTGTTAGAATACGGTGTTTGCCAGAATACAGTATTTATACAGATCTCGAGTAAAATTAGATACATTGTATTCAACCTGCAAGCAGGTGTGCAAAAGTTTAAGTGTATTTCACATTTGTCTCTACAATTACATAGCATTTGTATTTCGAATTAATATTAATTGGTATTTGTCTACTAAATATTCTTTATTACTTTGAAAGCAGTGTGTCAAAAGCCATTTTGTCAATTGTGATTTAAAAGTAAGTCCTTGTAGTGATTTAATTACATTAGATAAATTCATTATAATAATAATAATAATAATAATAATAAGTTTATTTTCTCACCACAATATACAAAATACATTGGCATAATATCCAAAATAAAATACATAAAACAATAAATTATACTGTGGGAGACTGGTGCCTAAACTAGACGTATGATCTGTATTTCAGGTCACCAGGACTCCACCCCTTAGAAGATACTTGTTATTTTGAAATATGTACCAGTACATTGACAATTGAAGTAACTAACTTATCTTATTATAAATTATTAAAAAATTCTTATAAATATATTGAAGCAGTTATTCTTATAAACGAGGTTGTGTCAATTTCTTTTCATTTTAAATAATTTTTGATATCATATATACACAGATCACATAACAAGTCAAATAATTTCGTTTTAAATATGTCTGAGGGTCAGGTAGGTCAGGGTAAGCGGTCTGCGATCGCTGCAGGCAAAGCATTATATATCTTGTTGTTTATGATGTTAGTAATAAGGTCCTGCAAGGTTATTAGTATTTTACAAATAACCCCGTATATGTAAATACTAAGTAAAATAATTGTAAGGGCGCGTTCCCATTGTGTAGTACGTTTTATTATCGTTGAATGACTGTCGTGTTTAGCTATTCCCACTAGATCGTGACAATTCATCGGTTCACGGCAGCCGCCTCGTCGTTTACACGACAGAACCGTTTCAAGCTGCGATTATCTGTCGCCACATTTTTATCGTAACGTTTCATTTATCGTCTGACGGCTGTCGTTCTAGCTCTTACCATTGTTACGATAGTCGTTCGTCGTAAAGTCAAGAAAAATGCGAACGACGGTTAATCATGTTGTTCTATATGTGAACAACTTTTACATTTAAATATACAAGCCACGACATTTTAAACAGCACGATTATCTGTCGTCTGGACATAATGGGAACGCGCCCAAGTGTACTAGAATCCGATGACAAATGGGGAAATTGAAAATTGTGTTAGCAACTCTTATAATAATAGGAAAAAACGTTGTTAATAGTTATTACTTTATTGCATTGACTACTCATCTACTAAACATAAATCTATCAAATAGTAACATAGCCACGTAAATTCCACAACAATAATTACGTCCAAATTTATAATTGTAGCTAATCTTCTTAATGCTTTTTCCTCAATAAAGTTTATGATAAAGCAATTAGGAATTAAGTAAGGATTATTTACTAGTAAATTGGTAGTGACTGATATAGATTTGTAATTAATTTGTTCCATAGCTTAAAAAATCTGTAGCAGACTGAGAGTCGTATTCCAGAACTCTACTCAATGCTCAAGTCAGGATTTGAGCAGACTTGTGTATGATTTCAAGCACTGGAAATACGACCCTAATGGCAAGGACTTGAGTACGATTTTCAGTGCTCACTACAATACTTAAGTCCTGACTTGAGTATTGAGTAGAGTTCTGGAATACGACCCTAAGTCCAATATTCTACAGTAGAAAAAATATGCAACGCTGTCATATTTTTGTGCGCCATATCTAGTGAACTACACCTATAGCATAACATTTACGTATATGTTTCATAAAGCAGCATCAAGCTGCGTAATTGGTCAATTCAGAACGGGTCCGATAGATAACAATTGTTTTCAATTGACGATGTACATACTTTAAACTTCATCTGACAATATATAGGAAAGGCGACAAGAATATTGAAATGTAGGCTTATCGGCGTTACATAACTCGGTCACACGTGAACTCCACGTTGGAACGCGAATTGTATCATATGCGCCATATGTTTTTTTTTAATGGCACACGTGCTTTTGGAATTATTTAAATCGTAAATTTCGTGTATGTGTCAGGATGTGTATGTGAAGTTAACAGCCGAGAGACTTGAATGACGTACTGCCAGATCCAGCAGTTCCCTTGACACTACATTTTATAACAATATTACCTCATAGACATTTAGTTTCATGTAAAGTTGAAGGTGTGGATCACGAAGCTAACAACTACAACTATAAGGAAAAATCATCTTCAAATGGATTGACTGTCAAAGGAATGAAGAACTTAAAAGTTAGACTTAAATTTTTCTCTATTGATATCCAGTGCACATGAAAATGTTCAAAAAAGAAAGAGAATATTGATGTCATTTTTATGTTTATGACAAAAGAAAAATACTTGAGGGGAAAAATAAAGGCAAATCTGTAACTACGTAAATGACCACGAACAATAAATATTCATGACATCACAGGAATTTGCATTTGAATTAATATACTACATGTGAACACATGTACTGAAAACTAATAGTTTAATTGCTATTTATTAACAAGATACTTGAAATACCTTTAGAACAATATAGATATAAGTAGATAAACACAACCTACCTTTAATATGATGAGCTTATTCAAACTTCATATGCTAATTCCTGACACACAAAAGCAAGTTACTCAGTTGTGTACTTAAAGAAACCGACTGTCATGTTGATAAGTAAGAAAAGTACCTGGGTATGAAGAGAGGAGCCGACACGAAGCCTGTTGCTAACTTGCTGAATGTTGCGTTGTACCGGTGGCTGGGAATGAGGCAACGCCGGGAACAGATCGTCATAAGCATACGACCCCCCGACGTTGTTCTCATATCCCAAGTTGTTCATCTCCTCCCCTCCCCCATGCCCCCCATGCACGGGTATCTCAGAATGGACCATATCTCCAACCATCATGGATTGCTGATGCATCATTTTCGTCCCCTCCAGCAGTCCTTGTTCGCGCCGAGTCGTTACAGTACTAGACAAAATAATTCTTGATTTAACACATTACTGTAAGACACACTTCAATATGCTTGCATCACATGTTTGAACAAATGTCATAATACATTATTTAATCACTTTGCTCAAGTGGAAGCAGTTCAAATGCTCAATTAAGTGAAGGACATTTAAATGAATAAGTTAATTGTAGTAATCACTGCCTGTAACTACATTCATGTTGGCAGTTAAAAAGTACCATGTGGTACATCTGGTTGTAAACTATCTACACACCAAATTTCATATAAATCAAGATTTGAGGTGGCCGAGTATCAAGTGACCACCAAAACTTACTAATTTAGAACATTAGTACGATGACATTTCATATTACGCTTTATTGATATACTTATAAGAATTTTAAATTTACAAGACCTATGCCAGGTATACTCGGCAACAGTAATTAATTGGTTTTTATGATAAGAAATCAATGATTGATTGCACTGCAAAAACGGTTCCTTTTAAATTGAGAGGTCGACTGCCCAAATCGTCACAGCGCTATGAATCTGTGACATTAATATATCAGTTATATATATTTGTGAATGTTTAGTACCAACACTGCTTGCCAACAATGAAGAAAAACATCATGATGAAACCTGCACATCTTCCTCTTCATAGTGTCATAGTTCCATCGGTATAATCGATGATTCCGCCAATGTCAAGTTAAGAAAGACACGCGTTTTTTACTCAATATTTGACCAGTGAAGTTTCGATAGAATTTGCTGAGAGGAGAATCTACAACAACAAGCAACATACACAGACTACTACAGATGCAAATTGTTACTTTTAATAAATTTACATAGTACATACACAAAGGGGGAGTGGACTAATGTTAGGCAGAATTTGATATTGATGGGAGAGGGATTTTCAGGGGAATGATATCAAACAAGTTTTTTATTCATTGACACTGGCGATAATCATGACAATTTTTGTATTATTCTTATAAAACTGACACTGGCACCAACCTAGTGGCCACCATAAGGGAAATAAAAATATCTGACAGAGGAGTGACAACACTGTTGCAGTAAAAAAACAAGTGCTCAAGAATACCTTCTGCCAGACATCACTTGCACAGAGAGTGGTTTCAAATACAAATCTTAGCTAAGAACACAGGAGAACCTACACCTCAAAGAAGGTTTACTAAAAATTTAACCTTCACTGATCAAGAGTGGTGAACTATAGCGAAAACCCTATCTTTAGAGGAGCCCAAGCCCAGCTGAGCGACATATCGCACTGCTATTACAATAGTGTTGTAACTCAAAATATGTGAAATTCAAGATTATACTATTGCTGAACGTAATATTTGACACTCTACACGTCAACAAACCTTCGTCAAAATATTGTCAGACACAATTAAAATAAATCTACTTAACTCAAAATGAGACAAACTTTTTGCAAACTAGTTCTGGATAAAACAGTCTTAATAAATAAGTTTCTAAAAAATATTAAGTTATTTTTTCGTTTTATTTGGCAAGTAGGGAATTATTTAGATGTCTGTAATAAATAAACTTTGTCCTTTACATAAATTTTAATAATATTTCGCTGGAAGTGAGTAATTAGTTTTTTAGCGATTCTGAAAAAATACACTTTTTGAGTTAATACACTATTGTATTAACAGTGCGATATGATGGATCGAGTTAACTTTTATAAATTAAGATACCTTTCACAAATATCCAATTACTTTTGCAAACACTGTATATGGAGATACTTCATTACAAAATGGTATTTTGTGACAACTGGCGAAGGAAAAGTTAGCCTTTAAGCAATATAAAAAATATTAGATATTGTAAATAAACAAATGTAAATAAATATCTACGTTGCTCTCATCCCAAAGTAAGTTGCTAAAGCACTTGTATTATGGAAATCAGACAAAAGGACTGTACCACAAACAACCAGACCTAAGACAATATAGAAAGGTCTGTTTTTCACATTGACCCAGCCGGGAATCGAACTTGGGATCTCTTAGATGGCGACACCATGAAAACCGGCGTGTAAGCCACTCGACAATAGAAGCCGTCAAAGTATTGTAATTACATAACTTCCTAATTAGTAAAAGAATTATTAGCTCAGATGATTAGTTGTAGGTACTATTTATTTGCCATTTTCTTAGGAATGTTGTACATGCCAGTGTTGCCCATTTCTGTATTTTTATTTTTAATTCTCAATAAAAAAATTTTTTTAATACTTTTAATTTCATTGAAAAGTAAATTTTATATTGATATTGAATTACTTAGATTGGCAATATTGCAGTAGTTTCATAAAAAGAACTTTTGAGTATCAAGTCTCATGGTATTGGTGGCCATGGGTGCAGGAGTATTGGCAAATAAGGATAATGGTTATTCCAAATGTTCAATGTCTAAAAGGAGTACATAACGAAAATAACTATTTTGAAAAGTGGCTTTACAATTACTATTAAACAGATTGTTTTAAGTTTTTTCACAACATCCTTCTTAGCATTAGGTTAGTAATGCCAACAAAATATTTTATCTTATCTTATTTTATTATTAGATATAAAATGCCGTCTTAAGTGCTCATAAGTATAGAAAAATTATCCATATAGTGAAAAAAGATTTAGGACCCATACAAAAATGTCTACATTAGATTCAACTAACATAAATTCATTTGCAAATTGATAATACCAATACACCCACTGATAATTTTACCACAAACCTATGTATCTAAGAGCTATTATCAGTTGTACAGGGAAACACATCATAAATAACAATACAAAGCATGTAAAAATTGAGTGCATGCTATGCGGTGACTACATACTAATTATTTTCCAAACATGAGCACATTGCTCTGCCCCCATATCACATAATGAGCCGGAATTATAATGAATTTGTTAAATTGAAGAGCTTTTCAAACTCACACCTATAATACTGCGTGTATTGAATTCACGTTAACAAAAAACTATAAAACACATAAGTAATTACAAATTTATTTATTTAACACACGTTAAACTATTAGGCGCAAATCGGCATCCCGAATTTTGATAATACGTGTCACCTTCTTCCAACACATTTGACGTGGAACTTGCCTCTATGAAATATAAAAGAACTTACCGTATGTACCGTAGCAAATCAACCTGGATGCTTATCCCGTAGACGCCAGGATCGTTTATTCTTTCCCCTGTGTGGAATCAATCGCTATAATACAGTTTTAGACGAAGAAAACAATAATTCAATTTGGATTCACAAAAACACACGTACCCAATGCAGCCGCGAGGAGAAAGATGTCTGATACCTGTCAACAGATAAAAAAAGTCAAGCAAAGCTGTACGTGGAATGAGAGCGAAAACATTGTGAGATTGTAGAGCCCTAGACAGAGAAAATTAGAAGCGCCACGTTCTGGTTTTGAGGTTGACAGCAAGATGGATACATATACATTTCAGTAAGTTAGAAAAAGAACGAACTATTTCGCTTAGCCCCGTGCTCGAGTTTTTTAAGGGTTATAAATCTCAATCAAAGATAAATATTTATTTGAATACAATGACAAAATACAGTAAAAACATTACAATCTGTTTTACACGACAAAATACAGCAAAAAATTTGCTGTATTTTGTCGTTGTATTGAAATAAATACAAATGTATGTATTACCACTCCCAGATCCATTAAAGAAAAAAAAATATATCTATGATATTCTTGAATTCTTGTCCATTACCATCTAGCTAGTACCATGTGCTCAAAACTCATTTTATCTAATAATATTTCTATCACTTTCTTCTCGGAGTAAAAAGAAAGAGATCGATAAAACATTCAATTAAAATTACGTGACAAATCATCGAGAAGCAAATAGTAATCTGTAGTAATGGAGTATGGCGTGTCGCGTCGTGAAAATCATTGAATTTGTGAAAATAAACTAAATCCTCTTGAATTGAAGTGTTTCAACGGTTATTCGGTACATTTTCCATGTCGCAGCAATAATGGAGAAAATACCGAGGACGCACGAAGGTATTTATTTTTTTGTGTTTCGTTCATGGGCCAGCCATTTTTATATTTTACGTTGGTGAACTTTATCAATATTTTTCCATTCATACAGCTTTATTTCACTGCGTTATTCATTAAAAAATTCAAGTTTTGTGCTTAAAAATAATTCTTACACGCGCTTTAAATGCTACTATAACATTGATTGATGATTTTAGATCCAACCTCAACGTGAATTTCGCCAACAAGCTTATTTATTTATGTAAACAGGTATAATAATAGGGCAACGCATTTGATACTGATTTTATGTTTGTTTCAGCTATCGAAGCTCAGATAAGAGAAATACAGTCGAAGAAAAGCGAATTGCCTGAGAATGGCTCGAATAAGGGTGTTTCCCTGGGAGACACCTACTATGACAGTGATATATATGATAATTCTGGGCACAGCGGGAAGTCGCGGTACGATGGCTACGTGACGTCCATCGCAGCCAATGATGAAGTTGAAGACGAGGATGTAGAGAATGTACCCATAACTCAGAAGCGAACAGGGGGATATACTGCTCCTGCTTCTTTATTGAATGATATTGCACAGGTATGTCAGCTTGCACAACTTGTGTTGTGGAAATGTTATATATTATTACTATACTTTAGCCTTGTACATAGTATACACTAAACAAAACAACATTTATAGGTGTGGGTGTAAAATACAACATAATAAGCGCCCAGTTACCACGCTTTCACATACATTAATGGTGAATCTTAAATTCTATTTACTAGGCTACAACTTTTAAATTCCTCGGAATAATACAGCCGCCGCGCCCAAGATGCTCATTTAAATTTAAACATAAAACCTAAATAAATAAAGCATATTTTGTCATGACAGTTAGATGCACGACGTGACTGCGCGGCGGACACGCGGTCACCGCTCGGCGGCCGCGCGGCGTAAGCGCGATGAAATTCGTGTCTAAATAAACGCACACTGAAGGAAAATCAATTTAAGAGATTGACTACTAAACTAGATAAGAGTGTTTTAGGCAGTGGTTATGAATTGTGATTCATACAGCTCCTTTATTTTTTTAGAGTGACAAAAATTATGACCCATTTGCGGACAAGAAGAGGCCCAGCATTGCAGATCGGGAGGATGAGTACCGCCGGAAAAGGCAACGGCTGATCATATCACCTCCTCGTATGGATCCTTTCGCCGAAGGTAATAAATACCACTGTTTAATAATATTATTTTTAGTATTCATAGTGAACTACACACATCAAAAGTGTCTAGGGATCAAGTGAATATTTTTGAAATAAAAATTATTTAAGCAATATTTACCAAATCCAGTCTTCCAGGACGACTTCTTACTTTAATGCTTATGTTTTATTTAACCGCTTACCCCTATATTTAATTAAAATAAACTAAAATTGATGTTTTTGCAAATTGTGGGAAAAAACTCAAATTAACGGCGTCAATTAAATGACAAAAAAATGGCGAAAATGATGATTTTGCTCATTTTTATTGTAAAGATAAGAAAATTAATAATCTGTATTTCCCCCATTAACACGAATCACACAATTACAGCGATTTGGCATGCTTAAGATGAGTTCATCAAAATCACTTTGAGGAATGGCCGCCCATGTGTTTTGTAACAAGTCAAAATATTGTTGTAGAATATGTACGGTATGCATACTCGGCACAGCTCTTCTTTGAAGCATATCCCATGCGTGCTCAATTGGATTGCGGTCTGGCGATTGAGCAGGCCACGGCAGAACGTTGATACGAGCTTCGGCAAGAATGCGTGTTACGACTCTAGCCGTGTGTGGACGTGCGTTGTCATGCATTAGTTGAAATGAATCACCCAACTGGCCTCGCAAAGGGATGATAACATCTGAAACAATCCTCTCTGCGTAAACTTGAGCATTGAGGTTACCCCTGCTCCAAATGAGATCGGTTCTTCCGCCGATCCAAATACCGGCCCATATCATTATTGTTCCCCCACCATATGGCTGAACTTCCTGACAATATCTCAAACGTTCATGACGTCCAGATGTTCTCCAAACTCGAGTACGTCTTGTATCCGGTCTCATACCGAAGCGGGATTCATCCGAAAAGCACACATAGCGCCAGTCTTCTTCCTCCCAGTTTCTGTGTTCGCGAGCCCATCGTAAACGGGTCCTGCGATTGCAGGGTGCAATAGGTGGAACTCTGAGCGGCCTTCGGGATCGCAGACCCACTTCACGTAAACGATTTCGGATTGTTTGATCGCTTATTAGCAAGCCTGAGGAGCTGTGGAGTCTCGTAACCAACATCATGGCGGTCATGGTACGATTCCGTCGAGCAGTATTTTGGATATACCGGTCCTGTCTGCGAGTCGTGATGCGAGATCGTCTTCCATGTCGCTCGGCCACGCTGCCCGTCATGCGATAGCGCGTCCAGAGGCGACTTATGACGCTCTGTGTAGTGTTAAGAGTGAAAGCCACAGCACGTTGCCTGGAACCAGCTTCCAACATTCCGACGGCTCGCATTATCACTTCTCGGGTTAAATGATGTCGTCTCTCCATAATAATGTAAATTGTTTCGGTTCCGATGCAGATATTGTAATGATTTTGTCAAAACGCTATAACTCATTTTTATACAAAACCACATTGACAATCGATTTTCTTCTTATTATCGAATTTTAAACAATATTCCTTATTTAAATGTTAAAACTCACTAAAAAGTGTCAATAGCGATACAAAAAAGTTAATATAATTAACCCTAATTGCAGCAATACTCTTAAACGTACTTGATCCCTAGACACTTTTGATGTGTGTATGTTAAAACAGGTGGGTATGTAATTAGTAAGATCATAATTAAATAAATAAATTTGTTATTTATTTGTGTTGAGGGCTCTAAAGTTTTCTAAAAAAAAAGGCTTCTAATAAAAAAAAAGTGAAATCTGTGCTTTAAAGTGAAAACCTCGCATACGTGTTTTCACACAGTTCGCTTTTACTGATTTTTGTTGCAGAAAAACTTATAAAATTTGTGCTCAAATATATTACTAAAGTAATATTATATTGTAATATTGTTTACTTGTTTGTCCTGTCACTTGATATAAAAAAAGTAATATATTCTGAAAGAGGTATTATTTGACTAATTAAAATGCTAACTACAAACATTATTACATTTACATTATTTTACACCACATTTTTATCTTTGTCTTGTGAAATTACATGGAAATATGGCCTCATTTCATAGGCGAGAATAATATTTTAGGGATGGGTATCCATTTCAATATGCATGAATTGTTGCTAATGAAACTTTTCATTTATAGGTGGCAAAACTCCAGATGTTGGATCAAGAACGTACACAGAGATTATGAAAGAGCAGTATCTTCGAGCAGAGGAAACGGAGGTAAGTCTATTATCATCATCGAATGGTGATAAATGCTGTTCATTAATTGGTACAATAATTCTATGTAGAGTTGTCGTAAAACTCAGAGTAACTTTGATTAATAGATTACAAAGTTACAATAAATATTATTATTAAGCCATTATTATACCTAGCAATTATGTAATGTATGAATAATATTGCTGACTAGTTCTGAGTTATGCTCCAGAATGAGTTTTGTTGTTCTACATAATTTAATTGCTTAATTGGTGTGGTTTTCTGGTACTTCATCATTACAATTAATTCAATTAAAATACTTCATCTCAATGTTGAGTGTGACCATTTTCTCATATAATATTTAAATTTCAGTTAAGAAAAAAATTGATGGAGAAAGCCAGAGAAGGAACATTAAAGCCAGTGGCCCAATCAAATGGAGAGTCCACAAAGCCGATGTCTAAGCGCAAGGGGCGTTGGGATCAGAGCTCTGACGACACTCCTGCCAAGAAACTTTCCGTTACACCCAGCTCACAAGCTACACCTTCTTGGGACAATGAGGTAAGTTCAAAACTTCAACATCTTATGCATTCAGAATTATATCCATTGATTGAATATTATTGTTGGTCGGATTTCTATTTATTACCTGAGAGACTGGTTCAATCTTAGCACACATTCCCTCTTTCGTGCAGCAGCTTCAAACATGAGGATAGCCATGAAGCAACACACTAAGAAGAAGGATAATTCTATAAAAAGATATTTTTTTCTACCAATTTGTGTTAAATTGTAATTTTTTATGTGTCACCTTCTTAGTAAAATTTGACCATTGGATTGAATGAATGATGTATTTATATTGTAGTTAATATGCAAAACTATCTTTTTAAACAGAGAGGTCCCTGGGAAGAGACACCAGGTGCAGGCGCGCGAGGCGGCGAAACACCCGGTGCGACGCCCTCTGCACGTGTGTGGGACGCAACTCCCGGCCATATCACGCCCGGTCATGCCACACCCGGCCGTGAGACGCCAGCGCAGCACGGCACTTCGAGGCGTAACAGATGGGACGAAACACCTAAGACTGATAGAGGTAGATAGACCAGTCTCAAAATTAAACTGTGCATGGTAAATTAGTCTATTAATAAGATGGGTTTCTCACCATTCAGTGGCGTGTAGAAAGATAAAGTTACTTTATTATAATGTTCATTCTTTACATGGACTAGATTATCGAGCACTTAGGTTTTCGCAACTGCTACGCGTTGGAAACTGTTTTTCCATGTCTATCGATATATGCTGATGACCAGTACCATCTCAGACAGTTGTGACTACAGACAGGCTGGCCCATTAAAGAGCCTGAAACCAAGGCCAATATGGTAACTCCATACAAACGTAGCAGCGCGGCTTGTATGCGTGCACACCCGCGTGCCGTGCACGGTCGCACACATTCGCATTGTCTTGCAATGCACTCGCAAGACGTCACACATCGTCTTACACACCTCCAAGGCGCGCGGCGGTCGCGCACACTAGCCGCACTGTTAATTTGTACGAAGTTACCATACTTCTCTTATTTTACTCTTATGTCGAAATGCTAGATTGTTGCCGAAAAATAGTTTCATTTCCAATGTACTATAATACCGTAATTGATTAAACCAGCTCGAAAAATTGTTTGATGCTGTAAATTTCTAGATAGTCAACCGAGAACACAAGTTATGGGGTATTTGTTGAGTTTTGTCATTATAATTACGTCTTATGCGTTACTTACAACTCGTATATATTTTTAGATGGATTTTAGGAACAATGTGATGTCCTTTGTACTTTTAGGTCCTAATCAATATCGTCTATCCTTCAGAAACACCCGGCCACAACAGCGGCTGGGCCGAAACACCGCGCACAGATCGCGGTACGGGCGTCGACACTATCCAAGAAACACCAACCCCCGGCACGAAGCGCCGTTCTCGTTGGGACGAAACCCCAGGTGCTACGCCAGCCGCCGCTACGCCTACACCGTCTCATGCAACACCATCTCACGCGACTCCCTCTCACGCTACGCCGTCGCATGCTACACCTACGCCGCACACACCGGTCTTCACTCCGGGAGGCGTAAGTATAGACAAGATTTTCCATATTAATTGAGAACACACAAAAATTTACGAAATTGAAACTAATAATATTTTGTAATTTTTAGTCTACACCCGTTGGAGTTAAAGCCATGGCTTTATCGACTCCGACTCCCGGCCATGTTGCGGCCATGACGCCCGAACAGCTGCAAGCCTATCGTTGGGAAAAAGAGATAGACGAGCGAAACAGACCTTACACCGATGAAGAACTTGATGCCATGTTCCCACCTGGGTACAAGGTTTTGCCTCCCCCGGCCGGTACGTGTTACTCATATTTATTCATTTTGCCGTTTCCAATTTACTCCTAAGTCTGACTACTTAGAAACATTTAAGAAGAACACCATAGTTATTAATTCCAACTTTAGTTTCAGGACACATGTATTAAACAATGCCAACATCACTGGAAACTAGCATCTGTAATGACGCGTTAGACGATACGATACATGTGTTTTTGAATTTAAAAGTACAAAGAATACCCTTTTTAATACTCAATTTTTCTTTCAGATGAATGATGACAGGCTTTACAGTCTCATGCCGTTGGATAGATTGGCGATAATGCTTTAATCCTCAGTTGCTGTTTGCGTATTTAAGATCAGCATGCTTGTTGTCTCGCGGCGTGCGACAGTACCACCAGTGTTAACTAGTTGTGTTGTTGCCCAGGTTATGTCCCGATTCGGACGCCGGCTCGTAAGCTGACCGCGACGCCGACCCCGTTGGCTGGTACCCCAATCGGCTTTTTCATGCAGACGGAGGAAATGGGAGGGTCGGCGGCGGCTGCTGCGCGCCTACTCGACCCGCAGCCCAAGGGCAGCCAGCAGCTTCCCTTCATGAAGCCAGAAGACGCTCAGTACTTCGACAAATTGCTTATTGATGTCGACGAGGACACGCTTTCGCCTGAAGAGCTCAAGGAACGGAAAATTATGAAGCTTTTGCTAAAGATCAAGGTATGTGAGATTGTTTTACGTATTTTCATAGAACAAGCCGAGAGTACTACATCCTACTTTCCTGCTGTTCATGTCTTAATTCAGAAAGGCAAACCTTACAGGACTAAATAAAATTGAATTAACTCATACAACATATAATTATGCAACAGAAAATGTTACTAAAAATCACGACATACCGGAAAAGCATAATTTGGGCCCTGTTCTGCATAAACGAGTTAACCCACAAAATGACAGTTTTGAGATATTGAGCATTAAAGATTTTTGGCAACTATTTGTCATTACTCATTTAATTAATGAAGTTTACACATTGACTACCAACAAATGGACGTCGGATCTAATACAAAAGCCACGAAAAAAATGTCCGAAGTTAACCTATACAAACATAGTGACATGTAAAGAAATATAAAAAAACGAAAACATTTAATTTCAATTGTAACGTCTTTGCAGTACTGCTTAATTTCGCTTGCAATAATTTAAGGGCCCAAAAAACACCATATTCAGCTTCTACTGGAAACTTAACAAAATGCACCATATTTAGCTTTGACTGAAAATTACTTGAACACAAGTGTAATGGACCAGCCTTTATTGTAAGTATTAACCCGGCGCCAATGACGTTGGGTCATATTGACCCGAGGCGATTTACAACGGGCATATTTTTGTTTTACGCCAATTGCACGATTTCAACGTTTGAGTAGCTGGAGATACAACCCTCCTCTACCCGACTCGCTGGTGTACTAAGTGTGAAGCCATCTGCACAGCCAAGTAATACGTGCATTAAGTCAAAACGGGTCAATATGACCCAGCGTCATCGCTGGCGTGGTATTTTTGTGACTGACATTATTGGTTTATTTACTGTTTATAATTAATTAATCTTATTCCTGCTGCTTGTTGCGTGCTGACAGACATCAATTTAATCATTTGACACCAATACGTGAACTTTCCAAAGCATTTGTTGAACAATGCCAAAAATGTATCCTGCGGGCGAAAACTGCACTATTAATGAAATGTTGGTGGTATTCAAAGGACGATGCAAATTTACGCAATACATACCAACCTCTGGCACACGCGAGAGATGTCAAGTATGTCCGTTCAAAAAGGATAAAAAAACATCTCATACATGTAATGCATGCTAGATTTATATATACTACCTATATACCCGGATCATACGGGAAGGTACTGCAATAGTTGCAGCAGTTGCACGTCTCTGATTGAGGACGTAGAAGACTAATTTCTAATAATAAGTTTGAGTGACCTTTCTTTTAGTATATAAGACTATTAATTGCTATTATTATTCAGAATATTTTACTAAAAATAAAAGAAATATCAAAATTATGTTTTCAATGTTGATTTTGCACGTGTTATTGAGAACGCTAATTAAATATTTATTTATACAATTTATTGTTATTATTTTTATTTCAGTATATGTCTTGACAACTCTTACTTAATACGTATTTGTTAAAATTTAGACAACTACTTTAATTTTACAAAAAATTATCAATGAAATTCGGGTCACGATGACCCAACGTCACCGTCGGCGTAATTATTTTCACGTCATTGGCGCCGGGTTAATTAATTCTTATGTATATTATTACGTCGAATTTTGTACAATTTCAATTAAATAGTTGGGCAGATACATACATACAAATAGTGCAAATGTGAAAATAAGCGTGTACTATAAGAAATGTACCGATATTCTAACTAAACGTAGACTCAAATATCCGTAATTCCGAAAACCGATTTATAATAAAACCGTTACGCTTTCGAGTAATTTTGATGCTTTTCACAAAGACAACATTAGCTTTTGTTTTCTAATATCCCTAAAAAAATACATTTGACATTATGACAATACGAGCTAACATATTACGGGCAAATGTATTTTCTGACTTCTGATAGGTAATCCCAAGCCGTAAAACGAGTACAAGAATATTTTGTTAGTTATTGCTAACGTTTAATAAAAAATCATTTTAAAAATAAAATTAAAATCAAAGCGACTCTATAGTTTCTTTGCTGTAAATATTTCAATCGCTTGTGGTTAGAACAATTGATAATGACCAAGAAGTTTATATAAGCTTCTTGAAATTGACGTAATGGAATTCTTGGAATTGACATTTCATCTTTTGCGCATGCAATGTGTAGAAAAAGGACATGTAGCTATTTGATTATTTTGTTTGCTTTTGTAATTTATATTTACGATTCATTTATAAGTAAATTAAATATTATACAACAGCACAAAATAACACTTTTAAATGATAACAATATATTTGTTTAGTGAAAATATGATACAAAATCCTGTTTTTACACTTTACTGCAGTAATTTTACAAGTTATTATTATTATATAGTACTGCATGATTGACAACCGCGCTGTCAGTCGAACATGCGAAGACTGTTGCTCGATTGATACTCTGTATGCGATTTTAACGCCCAATAGGTGCGGACACTTTAAGCGCGCACCTGATGTCCATTTGTTGGTAGGTCAATCAGTTTGCAGGACAATTATATATCACAAGATTTGTAATGAAGTAAGCATTACGATCAGTTTATTATTTTTTTAAGTTAACAAATTTATGATTAGTAATTAAATGAAAATGGTTTATGCAAAATTCGATTTATCAACAAAATTATTACTTAACGTGTCAAGTGTGATTAACACATTTTTGCTAAATACGGAAAAGTACATAATATAAAGTGTCACTTAATCTTTGCAAACATAGAGAAATCACATTTTCATAGTGATCATGTATTAAATATAAAGTAACAGTAGTTTTTGTCAGACAACGTGTTTTGTTTTCAATAACCAATAGCCCTTCTTTGACCAGTAACAATCGGGGGTGCACAAAAGGAGCCTCCCCGCACGACGTAACATTCCTTACTTTTACGAGATTTGATCGAAACATGTGCATCGAGGGTCAACCTCTTCTCACGTTTAAATCTACTAACATCCATTATTTCTATCAGACCACGTAGTCTTTCACTACACGACACTCTCTTATTACTTTTTCGTAGTGGCGCGGCTGCATCGCCACAGTGGCGCAATGTAGCAGTTCTATAAACGCTTAATTTGAAGACGCGCTAATAGAGCACATACTACACCCAATACTCGCTACCGTACATCAAGGTTGGAACCCGCACTTTCTTGACACGTTTTGGCTACCCATAAAGGCATACAGAGCTCCATTTACCTGATATCATCACACTAACCATCTCTTATTAATATAGCCGCAGTCGTAGTGCTAGTGATCTTCTTGTGTATCTCACGCACCAATGAGCAGCTGCCATCGAGAGCAAGCCAATGGCCGTGAACTTACACATCGCTAAGGCTTTTGATCGGGTCTAGCACAAGACATTTCTATCGAAACTACCATATCACGGGCTTCCAAAAAGGCTGTGCACTTGAATTCTAACTTCCCGTCTGAGCAGAGCTTAAAAGTCGCTGTGGACGGATTGTGCTTGGACACCATGCTCATTATCGCCAAACTTGTTCATCCTGCATATCAACAATATGCTATTAACTAGTAACATTCATTGCTATACGGATGACAGTACCAGTGTTGCCTATTATACAGGTCGTACAAATATATACCAGCCAGTGGAACAAAATAGATTGCAACTTGTGTCCAAAATCGAGATTTCTTTGGAGCAGGTCTCAATACGGGGCCGTCAGAATCTTGTCAAATTCAACCCCGCAAAGACACGCGTTCACCGCTAAAAATACCCATTTGTAATAGCGCCTAAGTTCCAGAACACCTTGACCCTTTTCTCCTTACCATCTCTAAGAGTAATGAGATACTTGGACTCGACATCACGAACGAAGTCCAGGGTCATTTGGAGAGCAAAGCCAAACTGGCTTCCAAAAAGCTCGCAGTGCTCAATAGAGCGAAGCAGTATTTTTCACCAGGTCACCGACTTTTGTTGTATAAAACACAAGTACGGCCCCATATGGAGTATTGCTCGCATCTCTTGGCAGGAGCTCCAAACACCAGATTGACCCACTTGACTCCATCCAACGTAGGGCTGTTCGTTTTGTCGATGGTCACAAACTCGCAGACGGTATGGAGCCCTTAGCTTATCTCCATAGGCTAAGGGGTAACGTCTCTCCAGACGTTGGCTCTCTATGCGTGTTTTACTGTCTTTACAATGGGGAGTGCTCTGAGGAACTTTTCGAACTGGTTCCACCGTCTCGTTTCCATCATCACACCTCCCATCAAAATCCATCCCCACATCTCAGATGCCGGGCATATCGTTCGTCCTTCCTCGAACCTGCAAAGTGTGGAATGAGCTTCCTCCTGAAGTATTTCCTTTGCGTTATGACATAGGGTTCTTCAAAAAGCGTGTTTATAGGGCTCTCAAAGGCTGGCACCGCTACCAATCTTGTCCCCATTTTCCCACTTTTATCTCTTTCAATTACCATCACCTTCGTCTTACTCACATTCGCATATCTTGAAAGGTGCGCCATTAGCCAAATTCTTATTTTAACAGTAAAAGGGTTATTCTCATCGCAGTTTCAGAATCTATATCATTTTCCTGTCCATCCATATCATCGACAAAATTTAAAGTATTTACATTTTTCAAACAAGTTGTATGTGTTAAGAGTACTTAAATCATTTCAAACCACGTTGAAAGACATTGTTGTAAGTCGCATTTATGGTTTAAGACGCTGACAAGCGTCGATGACCTTGCGTCGATGACCTTGAACGATAACGCGCCTACTATAATTTCTCCAATAAAGTGGCGCCATACGCCCCGATGCGGTAAGAGTGTGGTAGTTGGACCTTCCGCTTGATTTAACATAATATTGATTGCCTCTAACAGATGGCGTTGTACTTAAAATACACACATGCTATCAAATCGAAAAATATCAAAGCACATAAGAACTGGACATGTTATGCAAACAAGAAACAACCCACATTTCGAGTGTAATTTAGTTATGTATTTAGGTAGAACACCAGACGTGTCCTTTACCTGCTCACAAAAGATCCTGGCAACATAACAAGCCAAAACG